GGAGGGGGCTGCCCAGCCCAGTGGGGCTGCCCAAGGTGCCTGGGGGTGGCAGGGCCCGGCAGGCGCCTGCTCCCGGGCTCCAAAAGGTAACTGCTAGCGCGATGCATGGAGTGAATGGAGCCGCCTCCGAGTCCACCTGCAAGCCTCTGGCCTGCTGCTGCTCCCCCCCAGAGCCTCCAGGAGGGGGCTGCCTGGCCCGCTGGGGCTGCTTGAGGTGCCTGGGGGTGGCAGGGCCCGGCAGGCGCCTGCTCCCAGGCTCCAATGGGTAACTGCTAGCGCAGCACGTGGAGTGGATGGAGCTGGCTCCGAGTCCCCCTGCAAGCCTCTGGCCTGCTGCTCCCACCTGGAGCCTGCACGGGCCTCCAGGGAAGGTCTGCCCGGCCCTGGGGGCCTGCCCAAGGCACCTGGGGGCGGCACAGCCCGGCAGGCGCCTGCCCCTGGGCGCCCAAGAAGCCTGATGCTTGGAGCCTCTCCCACAGCCAGGCTCGGGTCCGCCAGCACTTGCCCTGGGAGCAGGGCCCTCCAGGTACCAGGATGGCAGGGGGACAGCAGGCCGGGACCTGGAGCCAATGTTGAGCAGGGGGAACCGAGGAAGTGTAGGGGGAACAGTGAAACATGGAGGCACGATGCCCTGGAGAAAAGCATTTTCCCCCTGCCTGCACCGGTCAGTCCCGAGTAGCACATGGCTCCGCCGCCACTCCTGCTGGCTGATGCCGACCTGGCCAGCCTCCTCCCATCCCCAGCATCACATGGGAAGCCAGCACAGGGGCGCCTCGGCAGGCAGGGTCCTGGCATGACCTCTGTGGGGCGAGGCAGCAGGAGCCGGTGTCTGCTGGACCCCGTGGTTCGGGCTTGCAGCGCTGAGGCCACCAGGGCTGTGTGCATGGGTGGCTGGGCACCACGGTGAGCGGTACCGTGCGGGCGGGCGGGTGAGGGGCTGCAGTGCAGCAGCCGCCTCACACCAGCCCCCCTCAGGCAGTGCCGGCTCGTAGGGCTGCGCTGCTTGGGGAATGGAGATGTGGAGCTATTTATTTCTCCCCTTCAGTCTCTGGGGCAGTAGTTGGCTGGATGCAGAATGGGTCCCTCTTGCCCCTGCCCACCAGCAGCTACCATGAACCTTGCAGTAACAGGCAGGTGCAGTAGGGTTACACAGACAGGGGCTCTCTGGCCCAGGACAGAGGGTGTTTGAATATGGTTTGCTGGCCCACTGGGTGATAAAAAGTTCATGATCTGGCCCCACATTCAAAAAGGTTGGACATCCCTGAGCTAAAGTAAAGAAGAAACAGGACAATGTTAAGCAGCATTCCACAATGGGGAAGGAAAGGAGATTATAAATCTTCCCTTTTTCTTTCCCAAGGAAATAACTCCAAACTAAATAGATCCCTTCCAAATCTGCAAAATCTGGTTCAGTCCAGTTTGAAATGTTTCAATGAAACAAAGACATTTAAATAAAACCAATCAAAGATCACTAATTAGAATATTAGAGCCAGGCATCTATAAGTATAGGGTACAGGATGGAGTGAAATTTACAGAACTCAGATAAGTCAATAGCAAATCTGCATGCCACCCTCCTCCTGTTTCTTAAGTCTTCCTAGCCAATAGATGAGTATCTACGTTGTGTTTGCATGGTAGCTAGATAGACTTCGGGATTGTTGTATTTTGAAGTACAAGCAAATAACAGGTTGGCCTGTAGACCTGTTTCTTCCTCTTTTATCAAAGCTAACTCACATGATTACCTGTAATCTGAATAACAGTGAGCGCATCTACACATACATTTGATCTGGGATAAGTTTACTCTAGAATAAACTCTCTTGCGCAGGCATCTATACATGCTGGGACTAGACAGAAAAATTGCTGTTCTTACCACCGAAATTCCTGCAGCCCTGCAATGAGCCCCTGCTGCCACCGGGGGGAGCTCCAAGGGCCACCACTATGAAGCTGCCACCAGCAGGCACACTGACAATGGGCTAGGGACACCACCGCTGGGGCTGCCATCACGTTCCAGGGCCTCCAGCCCTGCTGCCTTTGGGGCCGCCAGATCAGCCAGGAGTGGTGGCTGCACATTATCCAGCACACCTGTGATGACAAGCAGTGGCTGAAGATGTTCCGCAGGGCTCGTTCCACATTCCAGGAGCTCCTCGAGCAGCTCTGGCCCCACCCGGAGCAGCAGGACACTGCCATATAGCCACCCCTCCCTGTGGACACCCAGCTGGCTCTCACCCTGCTCAAGGTGTCCACACCTGCCAGCCTTTGCTATGTGGGCCATCTTTTTGGGGTGGGCATCAGGGGTGACCATACTGGAGGTGTTCAGGGTCCTCCAGGACATTCTGGGGCACACGGTGCTCCACGTGCACAACCCCTGGCAGTGATAGCGGGGCTCTGTGCCCTGGGATTCAGTGCATCATGTGCCCCGGGCGAGACCCACATACCTATCACCTGCCCACTCCATGGAGAATGCCCCATTATAATTGGAGGGGCTTTCACTCCATGGTGCTCCAGGTCACTGTGGACCACTGTGGGGCCTTCATGCACATGCTTGATGGCTGGGAGGGCAGGGGAGTGAGGGCAGGGATGGGAGGCAGGAGACAGGGACTGGGGGTCGGGGCCCTGTGTGGGCCTTATGACATGGCTTTGGCTGGCGTAGCCAATGGTTCCACTCAGTCCTTGTTGTCATTGATGGCATGCTGCTCTGGCAAGTGTCCTCGGATGGTGGGGTGGCAAGTACAGACATGGGCATGGATGTGGGCATGGGCCTGGGCAAGGAGAAAGCCATTAGAGATCCAGGGGCTCTTTGGTCCCCGTATGGCTGTCCATGTGCTCCTCAGCCTGAACAGCTGTCTGCAGCACCCATTGCAGGGATATGGCACAGGACTGGCAGCCACATGACTGAGACAATGCCCCACAACACTTGCAGGCTATGGGCATGCTGCTGGGGGTGCACTGCAGTTAGGTGGAATTGGCCCTACCAGCCAGAACCTGCCTGCAGCTGGGCCTAGAGGCAAAGAATCTGGCTGAAGGCTGCAGCAGCCTGCAGCACCCTGTGGGCTGGATGGTGTGGCTTTGGCAGCTGCATGGCAGCACAATCCCAGGCAGCAGCGCTGGGGTGCAGGCAGGCTGGCAGAGCTAGCCTGCGGCCTGCCCATGGGGACAAAGGGGCCTGTAGTACTCTTAGGCTCCCTGCTGATGTGCCACAGGGCTCAAAATGCCTGCAGCCTTTTAAAACCTGAGGTAGGAGCTACAATAGAGGCAGCCTAGCTCTGGGGCAGGAGAGGCTCCCAGCTTGAAGCCCTGGGGCTATCCTAATGTCAGCCCCATAGTGGTACGGTTGATTTGGGAGCAAACTTGCTCCTGGACTGTGTCTACACGTGTGTAACTGTACAGTAACTAATTGCACTTAAATGTGCTACCTGTGACATGCTTAATTAGTGTGAAGTAAACTAGGCAGCTCCACAGTTAGGCATCTCATGTAAATGCTTCCAGTATGTAGTACTGAGGTGGCACCAGAGGTGGATCTGGGGGCGTTCAGTGGTACAGCTGCACCCCCCCCCCTTTTATTTCTGCTCCACACAAACTTCCAAATGAACTGTATGGAAGAGGAAGTGACATTTCAGACAGGACTGAGAAGGTTGATTGATTTCATGGCTCATTATCCTCTCCCTGATTCCTGCTAATCTCTCTCCCCATCACAGTTGTTGATGACCCTCTATCCTTTTTAAAGCTCTTTATGTTCCACTATTCGAACTATCATTTCTTCTGCCATTTTGCTGTCTGTTAGTCATTCCTGGTAATGTCTATCTTCTATTTCACAGCCCTGCATTCCTGCTAATATCTGCTTTCTATTTCACAGCCCCCTGCAATCTGTTTTAACTCGAGCTAAAAACCTTAACTGAGGCGTGGTAATACTAACTCAGATGTAGGAATGACCAACAGTACAGTATTGAACACACTGTCAAGATGCTTAGCTAAAATAAGAGATGTACTTTTAACAATAATAACTACAGGACTCATGACACAATATCTTTGACTATTTTTGCCTAGTTTGCCTAGTTTGCAATATTCTGCCCTGCCTTAAAAATGATGCACATCGTAGTTCATGCATAGGTCAGGCTGAATATTTTTACATGGATACTTCAGTCACAGAAACACATTGTGAAAATCAGTTAGATATAGCAGTCTTTATATTCCCCCAAATATGGTGGATTGAACAGATTCATCTCAGTAAGTTACTGAGTGGTTTATCATTTAAATGGTTAAAGCTGTTCATAGGATCTTGTCCCAATTCTTACCTATTTACTGTGTTTAAGCTGCTAGAGTATACCTTGCTGTTCATGAGAATGAGATTTTCTCTGTAGGCTGTGAAATTATTGCAGTCCCTTGACAGTAGTGAAGATGTGGGGGTGCGATAATCTGTATTTGAAAGATGAGAGGCAAGGTGCATGCATGCAGTGGGCTTAGAAAACAAGGATGGCTCGAGAGAGCGTTTCACGCTTTTCGGTGTGAGAATGTAGCTTTCATGTTAGTACAGGGGCTGAACAGGCTGAGGGGGTTGCAGCAAAGCATTTTCAGGGATAGAAGGAATGGTCAGCGTCGAGCTTATGAGCAAAAAAAATAACTCTGAATTCCTTGTTCTGAGTTTTTAGACTTTGACTTTTGCTGAGATTTTTCTTTTTGTGTTTTCGTAACTAACATTTAAAAAAATATATTTTTCTTGAAATAATGGATCTTTCTTTCCAGTCTTTAATGCTTTTCTTTTTTCTGAATATGAAGCATAATCAAGCCTGTTAAACACAATATTTGTTTTCGCTTGTGTAAAAGATATGTAAACAGTCAACAGCATGTTTTAACACTGAAATTGAATTATATCTTGAGACATGTTTATAATGGCTTGCTGTCTTACCTTGTCTCAGTGAACTCAGAACCTAGAGATTAAATATTGACACCATCAGACGCATTTTTGTTTGTGTTTTCTGCAGAGCAAAAATGAGCCTTACAGTCAGGGTGAATACAATGTTTACAGCACTTTCCAGAGCCATGAACCTGAATTTGATTATTTGAAGAGCTTGGAGATAGAGGAAAAAATAAACAAGATCAAGTGGCTACCACAGCAAAATGCAGCCCACTCTCTCTTGTCAACAAATGGTAAGACAGAAGAAAGATCCTGGGAAGTGTCAGGATTATTCTATCGTGGTTCATTTCATTGCCGACTGATTTCTCTTACGTGCTACTTTTCAGTATCATTTTAACCCACATTTCTGTTCCAGTAGCTTTCAGTTCCAGGAGAGACATTCTTATATTGATTTTTGTATTTATTACTTGTAAGTTGCATTTCCATTCACAGGCTTTACAGTTTCTGTCTGGAGGCCCATGAGGCATTTAGGGAGTTGACCGTGTTTTGCTATTAAATACAGTTCTATGTTGAAGGAAACTGTGTGAAAATGGCATTCAACGGTTATTTCTTGAAAGTGTACTCAGCAATGCCTGCTGAATTCAGTGATGGACAGAGTTTATTTTTCATTATCTAAACTCCAGTTAGCATTTCAGAATGGACATATATGAGAGAGAATGGGGTGGAGGGGGTTACTTTTCAGGCAGCATTAACAGAGTTCTGTTTCGAAGTTTAGAAAGTTCCTATGTATGCATGTCCATAGAAAACAAGGCAGAAATAATGGGATATTGTTGCTGATTCTCTTTTGCAACATGCTTTCAGAGTTGTGGATAAAAACAGGCAAGGGAGAAGGAACAGCAGGTTTACAAATATGTCACTGGGGGAATAATCTGTAAGCAGTAGAGTCGCATAAGTATCACCAGGGACATATTTGGTTTCCAGAATCTCTATTATTGTTGGTGATGCATGAGTACTTAGGGCACAGCTCAGGGACTTAGAGACCTTTGTTAAACTCTTTGCTCTGTTCCAGATTCCTGTGTGACTCTTGGTGTGCCTCAGTTTCTGATCTAGATGATGGGCCTAATACTGTGTGCCTACCTCCAAGTTTATTCTGAGGATAAATACATTAACAGTTGTGATGAGGTCACGTTCCATGCTAATCAGTTCATCAAAGTACATGAGCTGGATAATGGTGGTGGTGGTGATGTGTTTTCTGAATTCACTTTGCTATTTGCATACAAAATTATCATGAAGAAGATTTTTAAAAAATTACATTGAAAATTTAAAGCGTAGTTGTGATCAGAAAAGTTACATCACATATTTGGACATCATTTTTATGGTCACATTCCCAGCAGAGCAAATATTACCTAGAAAAACAGATGTGCAGCTCCCACTGAATTCAAATGGAAGTAGCACCCATATGTCTGAAGCTGGTTGCACATGTCTTCATATATTTGCTTCTAACAGAAAAGACATTTTTAATGCATGATGAAAACCCTGAAGGCCATACAGCTATGGGAGAAGGAGTTGGATTTTTTCCAGTTCACCTATCCTCAACAAGTTGTCAACTAAGTTTTGATTGCAGCATCTTAATTAATGGAGGCAGAAGGAATCCACTGTGGCTTTCAGGTCCCAGTGAGGGTTTGAAGTGTTTGCAGTTAGCAAAATTATACTTCAGCTTGTAAACTGAGCTAATTTGATGTTATAACAACAAATTATTATGATTCACTGGTAATTCTTTGCACTAATTGAGCCAGTTTCTGATTTGAGATGGAATGTGGCCCATACAGAGCCTTATATCTGAGGATTTCAAATTGCTTTCCAGGCATTAATTAATTTAAACTTCCCCGCACCCATGAGACTGAATGGTTATGGAACCTCACAATGCCATTTCTACAGTCACTTTTCAAAGCTTAACCATGCTTTGAATTTTAAAGCAGCATTGTGAGACCAGCAACCATGCATAGGTAAAAAAGGAATCAGCAAATACACTCCCTTAATCACTGCATAAACACATTTTCCTGAAAAAAAATGATGTGTTAATTGATAGAGATCAAATACACCTATATGAAAAATGCATCAAATGCTTATTCTTAAAATATTCATTGGGATTAAGGATGAACTGTATTTGTGTAATAATATAGTTGAATAGGAGTCTGCATTGAATTCTGTACTTTATAATACATCTACTAAACTACAGGACAGCAAAACTTATTTGCCAAAAGGAAATTGAGTTTTTTCATGCAATTGATATAGCTGCAACACTGAGCTGATAGCAGAGTACAGATGCTGAAGTATAGCTATACCTACATACATCTTTTTATCTCTATCTATAGCTGTACCAATTTAGATGATAAATTAGTTGATTTTTAGATTTTTTGTTGTTTAACAATTGATAAAAGATCTAAAACTTGTACAAAAGCTACATCCAAATAAAATGGCAGTTTATCTTTGCTTGTGGGAGTTGGGTTTATTGATATTAAAACATAAGAACGTTGGTAGCAAACCAACTTCAGAAATGAAAGCAAGTGACCACATTTCATCAGACTATTCTTTTCAAGGACTTTGTGTAACAAAAACTGTGGTCTACAAGAGTTGGAAGTGTCTTTAAAAACTAGCCTGAATTAAGGTAATGTAACAGATCCAGTTACCATTAGATCACATAGGGCATGTCTACACATTGCCGTACAGCAATGTTGTTATTGTGCCACGTTTTACTACTGTTTTTGGAAGTACTAAAGCATGGCGCAGTAACTACCCGTACTGCACTGTGCACGTCGGAAAGTTATTTTTAGCAGCTACTTTGCCATAGCGACATGTTATAACAGGGGAGCACACCACTACGGCAGAGAAGCTGCTGGTCATGTGTAGACACCCGTGGACTCTCTGTTGCTGTAGCGCATTACTATGGTGATGTAGCGTCATGTGTAGACACACCCATAGAGAGCAAACTCAGATTGTTGTCCTGATCCCTCAGCTTTAAACAAAGTCCAGGTCTCTACATCTTGACCTGAGGGAAAATTCTTGAGCTCACTAAAGTAGGAAGGTCCAGAGCCACTCTGGAAGCCGACAACTAGAAGCAATGGCTTGCCATTCAGTTTTACTCATACCGTGCAAGTGTCTGATAAAAGGATTCTGACCCCCAGATGATGGGTGTATTTTTTTTTCTGCCTGCTCTTCTCCCTCATTCCCATCCCAGTTAGTGACACTCCTTTAGAGCCTCTTTCTCTGTTAACTCTCTCTGCTATCTCTTTTCTGTTTCTTTTTCAGTGAGAAGAAATAGTCTCAGTCTTTGCCCAGTCCTGATTAACATTGCCAGCTTATGATTTTTAGAATAAAAAATCTTTGCCTCTGGCAGCAGGTCAGGTATCAGCTGTCCATCTCGTATTCCCAATGTTCCCCATTGTGTCACTTTTGGATACCCAAGCAAACTGGCATAAATTGCATCGTTATTTCCTTCTCATAGACAAGAGCCTTAGGTTCCCAAGTCCGCGCCTCGTGCAGGAAGAGTTCTTAGTCCCCTTGACCTTAAAATGGCTGATTGGTTCATGAGAGCAGCATCTGCTCAACACATTTTTGATAACTCCAGGAACTAGCTAACTCATGTCAAGGTTTGAGGAGCCAGTTGGAAAAGTGGGTTCGAGCTGCAAAATCTCATTTAGCTGAATGGGATTATTGCAGTATGGAACTGAACTGATCAGAAATGTGGCACCTTCTCAGGAATGTTTATTCTATTAAAGGCAAGTACAGAGATCAGAGTTCATAGATTCATAGATGTTAGGGGCTAGTAGGGACCTCCCAAGATCATCAGGTCCAACCCACCTGCGATTGGGCAGGAAAGACAACTGGGGCCAGGTAACCCCAGCAAGGTGAGCATCCAAACGTTTTTTGAAGATATCCAGAGTAGGTGATTATAGGGGAACCTATTCCAGACCCTGGACACTCGAGTTGTAGAGAAGTTTTTCGTTATGTCTAATCTAAAGTGGTCTTCTAGCAATTTATGACCATTAGTTCTAGTCTTCCCCTGGGGAGCCCAGAACTAATGATCCTTTTGCTATTTAACAGCTCCAATTTCTTACTTTCCTTTTTTAAAGACAAAACTATCAAATTATGGAAAATTACTGAACGAGATAAGAGACCAGAAGGATATAACTTAAAAGATGAAGAAGGGAAACTTAAAGATCTTTCTACAGTAACATCACTACAGGTAAGCTGTTGTTTTTATGAGAGTTCTTTCCCCAAACTCCAGTTGCTTGATATTCTTGCTCTCATTCAGCAAAGGATTTAAGCATGTGCATAACTTTAAGCTTATGATTAATTCCATTTCCTGGATTGGAATTGTAATTCCTAGAATCTGGTCTTGAATCTCTCAGACTTTTTTCAAGAAGCAAATGATTTATAGTGTAATAATCTACATGAAAAAACTGTTTAAAAATAGCATCATTTTAGTTTAGGTAGTAACATATTTTTTTAAAGTTTGAATTACCATATTTTCACATCAGGGTTCTTCATTTTTCTGTCTGACATTATATATTAAGTTCCTGTTTAACAAAGTTCCTGTTTTATTCAGAGCAATTGAAGGGACAAATTCAGACAAAATGAGCCAAATTCAGGCATGTGTTCATTTCATTATAAAGAAAGAAATGACCCATCCCATTGTGAGTGTGGCATGTGGAATAGCTAAAACTGATGGTAAGGACATGCGCTGCTGGGAGCAGACAGCTGGGGATGAGCTAGTACAGCTGAAGTCTTCATTTGGTAAACCAATAGGCAATTGCCTGTGAAATTTAACTACCACAACACTGCTGAGAGAATGGCTGAATTGAGCTGTTGAATATGTGCAATGCTGATGTAGTACCCCAAGTTATTTCTTGGAGTTTAAAAGTTGAAGCCACATTTAATTTTTTTTTAGGGAAGAACCCAGCCGCAGTAAAGAGCTGAAGGGTAGAGGTGTCTAATGTAAAGCGTGCAAGCAGTCCAGAGAACACTCTTCATTTGCTAGAGAGTTATCCTTCCTTATGCTTGTTGTCCTTTTGTCTTGTGATTATTCAACTTTTGAATACCCAGTGGCCAAGCTTCAATAGGAGAGGTGAAGTGGGGCTCCCCCAGGGACTATTTTATTATAGGTTGGTAGGTAAGGCACAGTCTTGGATAGTGTGGGATGTGAAGGAGTCCCCACAAGCTGTGGAGGGTCTAACCACTGGGTTATTAGGCAAAAGATGATCATCATTCAAAAGAGAATGTGAACTGCTTGTATACTGTCAATTAGCCATCCTAGTTCTGGTAGGTGTCTTCCCTCCAGGCAGTCCAGATATCCTTCACATTTCAGGATCTAATGAGGAACCCTGAGTCAGATGGCTGAGCTTGAAGGAGGAGTGGGAATTCAGACACACCCCTGTACTTCACTTTTCCTATTAACTTGTTCTTGGTACCTCTGTGAGCATCTATGCACTCTGAATCGACTTTGGAAGGCCCCTAGATGTCCCCCTTCACTATGTAGTGATAGGTGCCTAATCTGTTGATATGGATCACACTCCTCAGGCAAATCTTAGGTATAGTGATGCTGCAACAGGAATGTCTACAAGGTCAGTCTGGATCTGGCCCTTTGTCATTTGAATTTTTTTGATAAGGCATTTGAAGAAGCCCAATAAATCATGTAAAATGTAATTATGTTGTATTCTCTGCTCTGCATCACAGCTCTCATCATATGGACAGAAATTACTTATTATTTGCCCATTTTCATTTTTTTGCAGGTGCCTGTGTTGAAACCTATGGATTTAATGGTAGAAGTCACTCCCAGGAGGATCTTTGCTAATGGTCACACCTATCACGTCAACTCAATTTCTGTCAACAGCGACTGTGAGACATACATGTCAGCTGATGATCTCAGGATTAACCTCTGGCACTTAGCAATCACAGACAGGAGCTTCAGTATCCTTTATTATGATTGCTTGCTCCACTGATATTCAGGCTAATAGTGCTTTCAAAAATGTATTTAAAAATAGAACACATGCTTTAGCATTTGTTTTTTGATCTTAAAAATACACCTCACGTTCGTCAGAGTTAGCAGATAAAGTCATCATGCTCTGGAGCACCACTCTGCAGGGGATCTAGGTGATGTAACTGGTTGCCAGGGAATTGTAAAGGATAAATACCAACCTCCAAATTGGTTAATGAATAATTATCAGGAAACTGATGAACTTTGAATCATTGCTAAGCGCCTAATTAGGGTATACCTCATTACCCCTATCTCCTGTAGGGGAGATTGCTTCTTGGTAGAGGAATAAACTTTTTCAGAATTGATCATCCTTACCCCTGTTCATTCCCACCTGATGTCTGAAACACAAGCAATATTCTACCAGACCCAGCTGCTTTGCATAACATTTTTGGCTTGTTGGTCGTATACTATGGGATGTTCATTCTAACCATCTAGGAAGGCACCACCTGCATTGCACCAGAGTGGGGAATGGCAGTTGGTTTGGAGGAGGAAAACGTGGCACTCAGAAGAGTATTTCTTTATTTTATGCAATGTAAAGAGACCAGTAGAAGAGAGAAAAGCCACTTTGAGGCCAGATCTGAATACTGGTTTTGTCTCCCCCATTCCAGTTTTCTTGTGCTGATTGTTTTACGTGTACTAAAGGGAGGTTTTGCCTAATAGGCTGTTGGAATTTGAAGTGAAGGCAAGGATGTTCTGAAAGAGGGTTTCTGCGAGAAGGCATGAAAATGAAGGGATGTTTCTGGTGATTTCCCTCCTGTAGTTAAATTCTTTCCTCCTTCGTCTCCTCCCTCTCAGTACCGCTGAGTCATTTGTAGCACTGGAGCCAAAGTCAGTGAAAAGATTCTCATGAAAGCCAGTGGGCTGTTAGATTAGATCCTTAAAAAGTAAAACCTTTGTTGCCTTTAGCTGGTAGTGCTAAAAGACATCCATACAGAATATATCTCTAGGCTCTTATTTCTCTCACACTATTCAGATTAGGGTGTTGGCTTGTGTCCTGTAAAGCCAACCTACTCAGAATGTTTTTCAGGAACAAATTAGAAGATTTCCTGCATAGCTCATTTACATCTGAATTTGATTTCTAAGTCATTGTTACTTCCCTTCTGGATCATGGTTCTGAGAGAGCAGGTGTTTGTTTAAATGGGAGTATTAAACATCACTTTGCCAGCTCTCTTCTATGCAAGCATATGTGCCTCTGCAATATGGGGTTTATGATAAGCATAAGGTGAAAAGTTGCTGGGGTTCTCTTGTTAAAATATCGGCAGCACATCCCTGAATCAAAGGCAGTTCATTATTACAAATCCAGGATAAAAGAATGAGGAAGCCATGAGTTTCACTCTTTCTAAATACACATCCTGGTCCATAAATAGCATTAGGGCCATGACACAAGGTGAGAAAAGCCAGGACATAGAACTAGTAGACTTATCTAACTTCTGCCAGTTTCTGTCACAACTTCCCCCTTAATTGAACATTATGTTTCAGTTAGATTTGTTTGTAGAGCCTTTTGTGTTGTTCATTGGTCACGAGGTTAATTTAATCGCTCAGGAGACTAAAAGATTGATCTCACTGCCTAGAGCCTGACCTAAGAGTTGACAAATTCTGTACATGCTTCCACACACAACTCTGCCTCTGCACATCAGTCTTTGCTATGCCTATTCTAAGCAAAGAGGCTCTGAGACCTGCATTATAAGTAACTGTTCCCTGTGAGTCTATAGGCATATTTATGGTCACTTTCATAAAAAGAATTATAATTAGGGACAAACTGTCCAAATCTGGGAGTCTAAAATAAAGCATCTAAATCTCTATATAAGTACCTACATAGAAGGTTCTGCTCCTTGGAATTAGGTGCTGTGTACTAGGGGTGTGAGAAGTTTCAGTTGTCGATTTGGTTCAGAGAAGATTCAGCCCAATTCGGAGGTCGAATCACCAAATCCAAATCGAATCAGGAACCCCCCCCCCTTCCAAATTGATTCAGAGCCTCCAAATTGATTCGGAAAAAGATTTGGAGATTTGGAAGGCAGCCTTTCAGGGGAACAGAAACTGCTAAGAGGGAGGGGGAGCAGGGGGGGAAGACTGACATCTGTAGCTGGCCAATGACTGTGATCTTTCCCTGAGTCCCCTTCCAGTCACAGTGCTCTAGGGGAGGGACATAGAAACAGCATATAAGCCGCTGTCTGCCACCTTTCTGTCCCTTTTGTGAGCTGTTTCTGCCTGAGCAACAGCATCCGAAATGTACTGGACTGTCTTGGCTTCCTAATCAGTCTCCTGCTAGTTTCTGTTCTTGGAAAGGATTGGCTACAACTTACTAACTAGAATCCCTTTACTTATCCCTACCCAATCCATTTCTTTCAACTTATTCTTCCCCCAAAACCTCTTATTTGTTCTTGGGGATTCCCCCCCACCCCACACACACACACTTTTAAAGAAGAAAGCTGTGTTTTCCTTGGCAGTGTGATCCATCACTGTGCAGGAAAGCACATATATTACACACACACACACACATACACAGAGAAGAAGTAAAGATATTAATATTATTAATTACACACACATACAGTAAACACAACAGAGAAGGAGTCAGACATATACATACAGTAATCAGAGAAGAAGAAGAAATATTATTAGTTTCATACACATACAGTAAACTAAACACAACAGAGAAGTTGTCAGACACATACATACAGTATTCAGAGAAGAAGAAGAAGAGGTATTATTAGTTAATTACACACACACACACACACACACACACACACACACACACAGAAGAAGAGATATTACAGCGGCACACACACAACCACATTTTCCAGCATAAGAAAGATTAATATGAAGCATGCTGGAAAGGCAGGCGTCAGGTCTTCTGGTAGGAGAGGGGCTTGAGGGAGTAGGGAGAGAGCTAGAGCTTCAAGTCTCCCCCCTCCCCCAAACATAGACACGTCCTCTTTTCTGACAGTCATGAGTCTTCTGCCAGTAGGAGCAAGGAGGTGGGAGCAGTACCTGCACCACCTCCTTTAACTCCAGAAATAGCCACCAACAGAAGAATGACAGTCTCCTCCACCCCACTTTCATCTCCCAGCATGAGCCTCCTAGTGCCAGAGGAGGAGATGGATCTGGAACCAGTAGACCTGAACGCCCTAGCAAAAGAAACTCTGGGGACCAAGGGGGAATCTGAGTTTGTGCTCCACACCCCTCAAAGTTCCCAGAGAGCCAGGTCTCCTTCTCCGGAAAGCACCTCGGAGGAGGTTGAGGTTGTGGAGGCAAGTGGCTCAGCTGAGTCAGCTCCTCCTGTTGTTGTGCCTCAGCCTGCTGAGGCGGGGGATAAGGCAGGATACCCACCCTCAACTCCGAAGCAGGGGTTAGTCTAGTGTGGGATCATTTTGAGGTGGCAGATGATCCCAAGTATGCTATCTGCCAGCACTGCCAAAGGCAGATCAGCCGGGGCAAGGAGGTGAAACACTTCACCACCATGGCAATGCTGCTGCATCTCAGAAGGCAGCACCCCTTTGCCCTTGTTCCTCCTCAGCCTGGCACCAGTGGGAGTGTGCCCAAAGGGAAGTCCTCCTCTTGCTTCAAAGCCTCCATCCTCATGAAGCAGAGGCAGGCCATCCTGGAGCGGTGGGGGAAAGCCGCAGACAAAAGGGAGTGCGTTGCAAGAGTGAGTGAGGTCACCCAGAGCATTGGGGAAATGCTTTCTCTGCATGGCCAGTCCTTCTCCTTAGTTGAGTGGCCAGGATTCAGGCGGCTCATGGCACTCATGGCCCCATGTTACCAAGTGCCTGCACACACCACCTTTAGCAGGAGGGTGGTGCCCTCCCTGTATGAGACATGCAGGGAGTACTTAAGGGAGGAGCTACTCAAGGCAGGGCTGCAGGTAGCCTTGCAGTTCATCTCCAACATCTGGAGCAGCTGGGGTAGAGATCACTCCTACCCCTCCCTCACAGGGCACTGGTGCGATCAGTCAGGCCATCGGTGGGCTCTCTTTCAAGCCAAGGTGATGGATGAGTACCACACAGCAAGGAAGATCATGGTGGCCGTGAACCGCATGGTGCAGGGTTGGCTCACTGGGCATGGTAAGCTCACCTGCGGGTTCATGGTCACTGACAACGGGGCCAATATGGTCAAGGCAGTCTGTGATGCCAACTTTGTTGGCATCCACTGTGTGGCACACAAGTTCCACCTCATAGTCAGGTTTACCTTAGAGAGGGACAGGGCTGCCGGTGATGGTGCCATCACTAACACCCAGCTCATTTCCAAATGCAGGAGGGTGGTAGGCTACTTCCACCACAGCATCAAGGGGGGCAAGATGCTGCGGGAGAAACAGGCAGAGCTGAGCATCCCACAGCACACAGTCATGCAGGATGTGGAGACTTGGTGGAACTCCATGTACCTGATGCTGGAAAGGCTGGTGGAGCAACAGCAGGCCATCCATGAGATGCCCTTGCTCGGGGAGTTTGGGATCAGTGGCCCCCTTAACAAAATGGAGTGGGATACCATCTCCCAGATCTTGGTGGTCTTCAAACCATTCCTTGAGACCCTCAGCACTGGTGATGCCCTCCTTAGTCAGGTGATCCCCATAGTGAGGGAACTTGAGAAGCAAATGGAGACGTTCCAGGGGATCAATGTATGTTCCTGGCTGGGGTAAGCCGCTGTCACCAGATGTGCAGGCACTGGTGAGGCGGCTGAAGGAGGAGATGAGAAAATGGCTGGATCTGTTGTGGTCCAGTATAGTCCACATGCTGGCAGGCATGTGTGACCTGAAGGTGAAGGGGATGTGCACCAGCAGCACCAAAACCGTCAATTACTGGACGCAAATGCTGGTGAACAGATTCAGGGAGGCAGAAGGGCAGAGGCGAGGGGACATGGAAGAGGGGGATCCACTTTCCCGTGCCAGCACTCCCAGCACCAACATCAGCCAGGCTCTTCCACACCAGCCACTGCCAAT